ACTTTATGGGGAACTTGCTAAATTTAGTATAGCTCAGTATAAGCCCAATATAGGAAGTATGGAGAAAATGTATGTCTTAAGATACCTTTTGCTTCCAGGAAATTACAGTATTGGATGGGTCATGATTATGGAAGAAAGGACAATTATAGCAGTTTTCTCATCATAAAGAGCATGGCAGGAGTGGGAGGTAGCTCAGTGGTAGAGAACTTGCCTAGCATATGGGAAGCACTCAGTTCAGGCCCAGCACTTTTTTAAAAAAAAAGGTATGAATTTTTTAGGGAGATCTTTACAATAGAAAACAGCATTTTTGTTTTATATTTTAATTATTCCCTCTATGACTAATCTTTCTCAATCTCTGGCCAGAGAAGTTTTAATTATGAATACTATCACTTTGTCCCTTAAATCACAGAAATAAGGACTCTAGTCATGGGAATCTAGAAACAAATTAACATTGGGATAAGTTTACAAAGAATATGATACCACGTCTATGTACAATACAAATGCACCTCATGTCTATTTCTGAAATGTTAACAAGTATCTCCCTCTCCAAATCATATTCCTAAGATCCCCCCAAAAGAAAACCTTCATATGTTGGATAACTAACCCCCAGTTCCAATGTTAACAGTATTTGTTGGTGGAGCCTTTGGGAAGAAATGAGGATTAGATGAGCTCAGAAGGATGGGTCCTCCACAGGCATTAGTGACTTTATGGGAAGAGGGAGGGACATTCCTGCTAGTGTGTTTGCTCTCTATCATCACATAGTGCCTTTCACCATGTCACAGTAACGTCAGAAAATGGACTGAGAATTTACAAATCTAACGTGTGTGTGTGTGTGTGTGTGTGTGTGTGTGTGTGTGTGTAATTTCCAGATACATTGTCAGCTTTCAACCTCGGTGTTTCCTCTAATGACACGGGTTTTGTTCAATAAGAGATGTTTAAGACAAGAAGGTGATCACTGACTCTTCCATACAGTCTAATCCACTTACATTAATCCTAGTTTTCATCTGCCTGGTGTCTAAGTTTACCTTTGACAATCCAGAGATGCAAAAGAGAGGCAAACATTAGGACGGTAGCAATAATTTAGTTGGGAGGTAGAGGATTCTTGGGAGACACAGAGAGACTTTAAAATAGAACTGGAGATAGTAGTTCTTTTATATAGATGGTTGCTGCTTTCTGTTGTCAGATGTAGGAGACTATTTCACTGAATAAAGCTTTGGTTTCCAGCATAACCCTTTCCTTATTCATGTTTGACTGGACAGAATTGCCTATTTAAAGTAAATTGGGCAGAAATAATTACTGGCACAAATCCTCTGGAAAATCTGCCATCTCCGCTCATTTCTGCCCCTCTGCTGCCCCCCTGTGCCAATGTCATGGTGTTTTAACATCTTAGCACCTTATTGGCTTCTTTCCTTCTCAGTCCCCACCTTCCCTAAGCAAATCCAGTCATCCAAGTAGGACTCTGTATATATCTTAATTGTGTGGGAAACACTAACAAAGTCAAAGGCTGAAAATTTCATACTGTTGGTGTACTTTCTGGGTCAGCATGGTCTCCTCCTATGAACCCAACAAGCAAATTGCCCTGCCTCGAATCCTAACCTTGTGCTTTGTACTCATGCCCAGGATGTGTTCCAATCCTGGAATAGTGGAGTATAATCTGCTTCTTCCTCACTCTATAGGATCCGGGTCTTTCCCATCTCAACAAGACCCCAGTGACCCCTCTTTCCTAGGAATCCTGTATCTCCACTTTAACACAACGCACAATGTCTCAGCCTCTAACATGAGTTACTGTGTACAAAGTAACACACTTCCAAGTGCTCTGAACATGCACCAGATGCGAAACATATGTTTAACAATCTTATAGGTAAATAATGAAAAGTTAATAAAATATATATGTCATTGCTATCAACTTCATTAACACATACTGCTCCACAAGCAGGAATCCTTGCTTAATTGTTTCACTGGAAGGAAATAACAAATGATAATAAAAATTAAGCCTTAGGTTGAATCCAGAGTCATTTTCTGGGTATATGACCTCAGTTTTTAGGAATGATAACAGTATTCCTCAAAATGATTGAATGTTAATGGAGATTTTCCATAAAGAAATTTAACATGCATCTGACATAGAGTTAATTTCTATGTCAACTGTTGCAAGTACCTGTATCTTTTGAAACAAGAGCTTTCATAAACTGATATAACTTTGCTTGTCATGGAAAAACTATCAGCTAAATGTTCCTGGATTTGCATGCATCGCTGCAATTGCTGTCACTTAGATGATAGCTTGTGTTCATTTTATTTTAAATATAATCAGCCACACTTAGAGTAAATTTGAAGAAATACATCCCTACTTTCTGTTTTAATTAAATCCAAGTAGCAACATAATTAGCAACTAAATCAGCATTTTCAAGGAAGAATTCCACCTTCCAGCAGCTGAGTTTACAAAACAATTTAGAGTTGCTGTACTCCATTGAAATGTAATATTTCAGGCTAATTTTTTTGGTTATTTTTGTGGTAATAAAAATAATGCCCTCACACTGAAAAATTGGAAAAGACAGCAAAGACTTAAGAACACTGATGATCTCATGATTGAGAGCTAATACTTAAAATACTAGTAAACACAAGAACATGTGTCTTTTTTTTTTCCAACCCAGTACTGTCCAATAGGATATTCTGTAGTGATGGAAACCTTCTTACTGGCCCCATCCATATGAGAACCACCAGCGACAAGTGGCATAGGGCACCTGACAAACTGGGTTTTTTGTTTTTCTTTTTGTGAGAGGATCGGGCAGGCCTTGAGCTCAGCAAGCCTCCTGCCTCAGCTTCCAGAGTGCTGGATTAAAAAGCTAAAGTTATAATTGTGCTTTGTGACAATTAAATTTGTCAGGTATTATTTTAAATTTTTCAGCTCTCCTAATGTATAATTGGCAAATAAAAACTGTATATAGTCAAGCTATTCAGTGTGGCTATTTAATATAATGTACATATTGTGGAGTGGTCACTACAATCAAGTTAATGGATGTATCCTGAAGTTCACAGGGTGACACTTGTGCAGAGGATGTAGATGTGTGTGTGTGTGTGTGTGTGTGTGTGTGTATGTGTGTGCGTGTGTGTGTGATACAAGAAAACTATTACTCTCCATTTCTATCGTACGGTACAGTAATGGTACCCATAGTCATTTTTTCTGCATCAGATCTCCAGAACTTACTCACCTTACAATTGAAATTTTGTACCTTCTGGTCAACATCTCCCACCATAGCTCCTAGGAACCACCCTTCTCTTCTTTGCTTCTATAAGCCCAACTTGTTTTAGATTTCTCCAGTTTCAATAATCTTGTTGGAAATGTCAAGGTTTTATGGTTAAATAATAACCCATTCAGTCTATATAAACCATATTTTTGTCCATTTATCCATTACTGGACACAACTCAAATTTCAACAGTCAGATGTGCCTAATGACTACCATACTAGTGAGAGTAGCAGATATTTTTACAACACTGGGGACAAACCATTACACTGGGAATATTCCCCCACATTATTAAACATCCTGTGAAAACCTGATTTCAATGCCTCCTTATTTCACCATATAAGGGTATTATTATTCATTCCAACATCCCTAATTATGAGGCAATTAGATTTTTTCCATTTTAACTCCTGTAAATAAAGCTACAATAAACCAATTTATAAATAAACTTTCACCTTCACCCATGATTACTTCCTTAGGATAGATCCCAAAGGAGAAATTACTAGATGGAAAGATAGGAACTTCTTTGAGACTTGTTCCTGAAAAGTTGGACCTGTCACAATGGGTAAACTCTCACAAGGAAGTACTCCAGAGAAACCATTTCATTGCACCCCTGTCAACAGTGAGCATTACCCAGTTACCTTTTTTTAAAAAAAAAATCCATACTTAATTGATAAATTAAAAGGATAGAAAGTGGCTGGATTTTTTCCCTGTTGATTGGTAGTCATGATTATCATATAGTGGACCATTTAGGTCCTCAAGGGAGGACAAGTAGTTACTCAGCTGCATTTGGATTATGCCAGTCTGTGTACAGCCTCCATCTGGGTCTGCCTTGACCCTGCCTCACCTAAGGTCCACCCTTATGGTCATCTCACATCCAGGGACCGAATGATGTCCAGATGTGCAAACCTAGCCATTGTGCCCAACTGGGAAATTCTGGTGAGCATATTCTCCCCAGAGCTCCTGGCCAGTATGACTGAGTCTTCACTGAACCTGCACCATCAGTAGATATCTCTACTTTCCAGGTCTTCTTCCTCTTCATTTTTTCCACAGTGTGGATCTCCAACAAATACCTTAGATCTCAAACCCATCTCAGCATCTGTTCTGGAGAACCCAATTTACAGCAAAGATGATGTTAGAGTTTTTATATTTATTTGACTTTTCTGTTGTTTGTTAAGGATTATGAGGTCACTTCCAGGCAAACAGCAAAAAGAGTGTTGATATCCACAAATATACTTCAAGTAAAAGATTTTTGTTTGAAGCAATAGGAAAAGTAATAAAGATTAATGCATTTGGTTTTAAACTTAAAATTTTCCTAAGTTGTAGGAAAACAACTTAGACAAAATCAATTAAAGACCCAAAGTGGAAAATTACAATAGACAAGAGGTTAAAATTTACCTAGAAAAATAAGTTAGTGGCCAACAAAGCTGAGTATTGAAAACATTGTGTATTTCTCTTTAGGACATAAAACAGTTCTTCCTTTGTGCCTTCTCTAAATAGATTCCCACAAACCGTTCCAGACTAAATTATTCTGAAATTTCAGATAATCCAGGATGAGAGTAGTTTTAAAGCCAACAACATTGCAATAAAGGTAATTTATTGGTGAAGAAACTCAACAAAAATGAAAATGCAGTTCTGTCAGGAGCTGTCATAGTTCTTCCAACCTTTTGGTTTCCAAAATCATGAGAAAAGTGAAGCAGCCTGATGTGAGATTCCCCTCCCATGTCACAGTTGCCACTAACTCCTGCCTCCTGTGCTTTACAGCGTTGCTAACAGATGACCTCACAGATGCAATTATCTGTGCCAAGAAAATTGTTAAAGAGACACAAGGGATGAACTACTGGTAAGAATCCTTCCTTGGACAACTCTGGCCTGTGTGAGTAGAACCTACATCCGAGCAGTATCCGAGCATCTTGGCTGTGATGGAGTTTGACCCTCCAGAGGGGTGCAACAATGCTGCCATAAACCTATCCTTCTTCTTCCTCACGACATGCAGGTGTTTGGGGGAAAATAGTAGAAGGGAGTGGTGTGGGGAGAAGATATAGTCAGAAAAATTTACATATTCAAAAGAAGCTGTTGCAAACAATCTGAGAAAGAGATACTTTCTAATGTGAAATGGAAAGGGTTCATCCAGACGACTTACCAGAAAACTTCCCTAAGCATGAGTGGGAGCCCTGGTTCAGCCAGGACCTATACATCCCAAGGCTGTTCCTATGGAACACTGTGAACTAGACCACCCACTTAGAGATTCCATATTTTCCTAGATGTGGGTGTTGAACTCAGTGACCCATACTTCCAAAACCTGTTTGCCTGCTGCTGAGGCAAAAAACTGGGGAGAAAAGTTTTAAGGCAAAATAATAAGAGACCTTACATCTCAGAAGAAGCTGAAGCTACACTCAGGGCATCACTGGTTATTCTAGAGAGTCTCCATAGGTCTAAGCCTCAGAATACATTGGTTATCATGCTTCTTTCTGTTGTTCCTGCTTCCTTCTCCACCCCAGGCAAGGCTGGAAGAAACACTGTGAGGGCCAAGACCTGTCTGAGTGGCAAAAAGGATGTGAGGTTTCACAAATGGGAACCGGAGCTCAGTCCCCATGATATGTAATGAATGCCAAATGCTCACGTCACCTTGTCCCCTTTCTTCCAGTATTCCTTCTCAGAGTTGGGGAGGGAAAACCGAAGTGTATTTTAAGAAAATAAACATTTCCACTTAAATGTCTTCACCTTGAATCAGTTTCAGTGATGTCATGATATTATGATGTTAAGACTTGAAAAATCATCTCTGGAATGTTCCAGTCTTAAAAGGAATACATTTTCCTTCTTCAAGGTGAGAAATCCTACTGGTGTAGCCCTGAAATGGCTCACAGCCCAGAAATGGCTGCTTGTAGCCCAGAAATGGCTGCTTGTAGCCCTGAAATGGCTGCTCATCGCCCTGAATGGCTACTCATTTAAAATTAGACTTTGAAGTCAGTTAGACTCAGTGATCCACCTGAACAGGTCTTCAGGCCACAGTTTACCAACCATTCTCCAAAGGCATTGCACCGTTCTGCTCCAAGCAGTAGACACATAGTACGTCCACAGGGAATATTCCTCTGTCTTCAGAGGGCTGCTCATAGAGACTTTACTGGGCAAGAGATAAAACGCAGCTCTTGCCCTCAATGTCCTGAGACTTCCCACAAGTTATTCCGGCATCCATTTAAGTGTAACCTATCAAATTCAAAAGCCACACTTCATAAATCCTCGTGACAAAAATATTTTCAGTCTTAGAACTGCTAGTTTTATTAGTTTACATAAAGGGAGTCTGAGTACTTGTAACAGGGGCTGAGGATCTCTGACCCCAAAGAGATAGTCCTAAAAGGCTCTCTGCACTACACAGGGATGTTCTCCTTTGATGGCCCATGTAGCAGGGCAGCTCTATTCCTGTTAAGTTTTTTCTTGTGTTGTTTTTTGTCCCCTTGACTCTGCCTTGCTGAAGCAGAGCTGGTTAAAGCTGCTTTGTTCTAAATTTAGGTGAAAATAGTAGGTTCAGATAGAATGCAATCTGACCTAGAGAAAGCACTAAGTTGAGGTTTGTTGCAAAAATGGTTATGCCAGTAAATAACCTTCCCACTCAGAAGAAGGTCCCAGATGATGTGATTGAATATTTTGCTACCTGAAAAACCTACAATTAGTTGGTTTGCAACCACCCAGGTCTCTCTCTCTCTCTCTCTCTCTCTCTCTCTCTCTCTCTCTCTCTCTCTCTCTCTCTCTT